ACCAGTTTTTTTGTCTGAAATCTTTTGGCTCGGCTGTTTTTTGAATGACCGTTACCTTTCTCCCGCGCGACCACCCAATTAAACTTTGAGTGCTAGATCTGCAGGGGGCAAACTGAAAAAATAAAAACTAAAGAAAGGGTTAACTGAGGATTGGCCCCCTGTACCATCCCGATCGCAAATTAACCCCTATAATTTTATTGTTGCAGATGGAACCCCGGGTAGACTTTTCCTGACCCTCCAACCATCAGAGGAGGAGAAAATTATACTTTGATAAATGATCTCTTAAGGGTAAATGAGCAGAAATAAATTCATTTGGGGGCTCTATCTGCAATTAACCCAAAAGGAAAACAACAATAATAGTAAATAACAAGTCTTCTCGGATTCGGACAAGAAGAAGAAATAGAGAACAAAACAATAAATCTCAGTTGAACGTCGCAAGCACCATTACTCAACTTAACCAAAGCAATGTAATAGAATGATAGAATTATAACAAACTCTATACAAAAGAGATATGGAGGGCATATATGGCACATTAATTAAATAGGAAAGATTAGAAACACATCAGTTTTCTTCTGCTGTGTCAAACAAATTTAATCAACAATCATCATAAACACAAGAACATTAAATGTGGAGAAAGTGTCATGGTCTTCTCATAGGTGGTGCTTTTTGAGATGAAATGGCTCCCGGGTTTGGATTTGGGCCTGTAGCTCCATAACCCATTGCTAATTTGTTTGTCGGTAGTGATCCTGGGTTTCCTCTTCCAGGTGCAGCTAAACCTAATCGCGCTGCAATTATTTGTGCGCGTTCATGCATAAGTCTGTGCCTAGCTCTTTCCGTTTGCTCCCTCATCCTCATGATTACACTTTCAATATCGGCGAACATTGCCAACTTGACCTCCAGCTTATGCAACTGCCAAGAAAACACTGAAGGTTATGAAGTAAAGAATAAACGTACATTTAGATTATTGCATAAGCAGCCACCTTTAAAATGAAGATTGAAGTTCAAACAGAAAAAAGAGTTCTTACAGTACCTGTTTCTCAATAATCAATGAGACGAGCTGACGGATTTGGTCTTCCTCATGATTAGCAAGAAGCTTGGCCTTCACTGAAGCAGCTGAGAGTACAGTAACTGCAGCACGTTTTAACTTGATTATACTGTAGTTATTCTTGTCGTCATTGGCTCCAGATGAGTTGTTACTCTTCATGTTCTCGCTGGATGATACTTTTCTATCATCTACATCTGAAACATAAAGAGTAATCAGATGAAAGTTTGAGGATATTTGAATTTTAGGTGTGGATGCAGTAAGTTTCGTTTTTAATCTAACATTCTAACCAGTTATAGACATGAACTTACGAAGCAGAAAGAAAATCAATTTAGGAAGCAGAAAGAAATGTGTAAATATGTTTACTGCATTATTTGTTCTTTACACAGGTAATCATTGTCAAAATGAATTAAACGTAACGTGAGACAATCATGAATACCGTCAGATCGTTGACATTGGCAGATAACTTTATTATTTGCACAGCTACAATGATTTTTTCCCCTTCGGGAATTTTCAACAATTTTTTAAATGGATGTCTTTCTAGGTATGTGATTGATGAAGGTTTAGTTTACACCATCTATTTATCGAGCCAAGTACGTAGGTCATTGGAGTTTTTATCTAGTGACAGGAGGCAAACAATGTACAGATGTATGAAAAGAAGTTTTAGCACATTCAGAAAGACCAAATAAAAATGATAACTGTCGGGAATGTAATCCTTAAGCGTACACAACTCTTTAGATATATAGAATCTGGCTAGGGCCTTCAATTTTGAGGCCCCATTCTTTCTCTAAAAAATTAAAAAAATGAAAATGAAACCAACGCAAACAAAAACTTAATGAGCATGAGATGTAAAAATCATTAGTTATTCTGTGATTGCAGCTGTAACCACATTCACCAAAAAAACATTAACATAACGACACCACAATTTTGCTACTGTCATCGACACTACCACAAGAACTAGCATTACTATCACAGTTTTAGGATCATTAATGCTACTGCCCATCACGATGCTATCTAGTTTTCATGATTGTTACCATCTCTACCAATATTAGAAGGGAAAGGATTTTGTGGGTAGTTCTTAAGTTCTTCAAGTAAATAAATGCTAGAAAATTCACATTTTTCTTTCGATAATCGTATTGCAGGTTAGTGACTAAAGAAATTTCCTTTACCCTCTTAAGGAAAAAATTAAAGACAAATGATTTTGGTCATATCATCTAATACTAATAGGAACCATTGGGACTGTTGCAAGGACCACAAAATTCAAAATGAGAACATGTCTTAAAACTAAAGAATGTAGCTAAGAAAAGGGATTGAAAGGTACGGGCAAAACATCAAAAACGGGAAGAAAATCAAATGTTGGATAATGTAATAATCTTTCCTCAACCAGTCAAATTACAAGAAAGTGACATTAAAAACTCGCAGCAAGTTCTTGTTGAAAGGTAATAATAATATAATAATATACTTCACTATACAAATAATGTAATTGGAAAGATGCATGATATGATCATATTATCACAATACTATGAGTTGTAACACTTGTATAGTGTTTTCCCTATTAATGTGGGATCAGACATTGAGGGCTTGTTTGTTTGCACCGAAGTACCAGTGAAATAGCAGAAGTAGAAGAAGTAGAAGCTACTTCTGCTACTTCTAGGCAAAAATATATATTTGTTTCTCTTGAAAATCTACTTCCGTTACTTCCTAAAATGATGATGTGGCGTCTACGTGGCATCTCCATTTCCTTAATTTTTTTCCATCTTCAAATGCACTAAAACACAATGGAAGTTGATATATGGTGGGGTCCACAAGAAAAAATCGATTCTCAAAACTATAATTAGGAAGTGATGAGATTTCCTTCTAATCTGTATCCTCACAACCAGCAGTCTCTTCCCCTCACAACCGACTTCGCCATCTTCGCGGTTCCCTCAAACTCGCGGTTCTAGTCCACGCCATCTTCGCGGCAAAAAAGGGTTCTTCCTTCTGTCGCTTCATCGTTCTTCCTTTGGCTTCACCAAAAAGGTATGTAAAGGTTAAAATTTTGATCTTTTATTGTAATTAAATCAATGCAATATTTCTATTTTACTTGTAGAAATCTTCCATAAAGCTTGATCTTTTAGTTTTGGTTCCTTTGAGACATAATAGTCCA